AGACCAATGCATTTAGGGAACAGTGGTTCACCTAACTGGTAAAATCAAGGAAATACTTATGGAAATACTTAGGAAAATATCCATGAGGTTTTTATTCCTATGAGATTGACAAAATTTCAAAAACTAATGCTTCGACTCGGCAAGGGTACTGGGAAATCAATGTATCCATGCATTCACTTCATTGGCGCAAAACTCAGTATTAACACTTCTGAAGGGCAACCTAATATGATTCCAGAGCCTTTAATTGACCCACAAATTCCACTTCTAGGAACTTATCCTAAAAAAAAATGTCATCTCTAACCACATAATTGCACACCGATTTATGAAAAGTGCTGTTTATAATAATGATGTTTATTATAAACAACAACAAAATAACCTGCAACCAATCTAACATTCTTTAATGGAGGATTGTTTGAATAACCATGACATTATCCCTTTTGTGGAATACTATGGAGCCATTTGAATTGATAGGCAATACATACATATAAATGAGTGTATGGTATACTGAAACGTGAAAAAAGAAAGCAGGTTTCCAAAGTGTATGTGTCTGTCAAATAAGATTTTCTTTAAAAGTGAAAGCACAGTTGTGGATGTATATATAAAATATATACATATACATTTTAAATCTTCAAGGACTGAAACATTAAGTTCTGGTAGCGCTCAGTGATGACAGTGCAAATTATCTCCATCAGACTTATTTTATGACTTTTTTTTTATCTTCACTGAGAATATTTAAACTTTGCAGTGGAAGGATATGTCAAAAAGTGAACTACATCAATTATCTGGTTATTTTACCCATATAGCAATAAAAAGATTAACTTTGTTCTTACTGGAGGTGATGTACCTTTTTTTGGTCCCACCTATATGCGCTCAATTGATTAGAACACTTAGAATGCCAGAAAGACATTGCTTTTAGGATTGAAGTGTGTCTAGATTTAATAGTAACAAAAACTACTTTTGTAATCCTAATTCTCTCTCCCTCCCTCTTTCTCTCATGCACAATTGTAAAACAATACAGCCACACACTCTCCATAGCAGATAGTTGGGGATTTTTTTTCCATGACTAATAATTGACTTTGAAAAATCATGCTGGGCCTCCCCGGTGGCGCAGTGGTTGATCGCTGGGTTGCGAAGCTGCCCACAGCCTCTGCAGCGCCAGTTCAATTCCTGGCCACCGACGAGGGTCCCACATGGCGCGCAGACCTCTCCTGCCTCATATGCTGCTCCCCTCAGCAGTGCACTTAGTCAGTCTAGCTGTTCTGCTCCCTGCTCTGGCTCTGGTGAATCCTCTCACCCTCCCGCGCTTCTGACTGTACCCAGTGCTTGTATAAATACATAAAATCTTTTTTTTTTTTTAAAAAGGAGGAAAGAAAAATCATGCTTAGGCTACTTCTCTTTTCTCTTTCACAACCTATCCCTTCCTAGAAACCTAGAAATCCTTTGGGACTTAGAGTCTACCACACGATTGTTTTCAAACGGCCCCATGCAGTCAACAAACTCTTTAACCAAAAAGTTATTCCACAGTGTTCCACAAGTGAGCGGGACACCTCAAGAGCACCCCAAGGGTACAGGCCTTGTCAGTCTGAGGGGGGTTGGGCCAATTCTATTTGGAAGCTGATTCAACAAACACCCACTTTGGATATGTGAATCCCTTCCATGATTCACTGTGTCCCGGGGTCAGTTCCATCCTGTCCTGGGGCTTCAGTCTCCTCATCTGAGAGCCATGAATTAGGGGATCTCTGAGCTTTCCTGCATTCCCTATACACTCAACTCACAGATAAACTAATTTGCATCAAACTGGGGAAAATGGTGGGTGGGGGGTTTACAAAGTTTCAGAGGAGCTACAGTTTCTTCAGTGATCCTGAGTGAAGGGCCTCCTGGAGCCAGAGCCAGCGGTTAATTGAACATATCCACCGTCCCTGGGTGCGAGGGGCTTTGCCATGATCCACACTACTTGGCTTGCATTGTCTCATTTTCAAAATTTCTGCTCGTTTATTGTTTCTTGAAGGTCAAACATTAAGCATTTCAATATAAGTATTTAAATATTTGCACTAGCTATCAACAGTTCATTTGCCCGTGTGCGCACCCATGTATATAATGTAGCATCCGCCTAAAGCAGGTGCTCAGGAATTCGCATACACAGTTGGCTTAGGAATATGTCTGTTGAGGCACCTTCTTTTCCTCTGATGGTGTGTAAAAGTGCCGCACTTTACAAAAACTTGTGATATGCAAATCCAAACATATGGAGCATGCAAACTAGCAAGTGGTTATATCCACAGGAGAAAGATTTATTTCCAGTTTCTGCAAACAGAGAAGCAAGGTCTAGGTCACATCAAGATTACTCCCTCATCTTCAAAACACCACAGACACTCAGAGGTGAGGATTTCACACACTACACACACACACACACACGCGCGCGCACACACACAGCCTACTTTCTCTCCACAAATTTAGACCAGTGAGGTGTTTGTGTTGCTATTTGTCATAATTTGTTTTCTGCAGTGACTTTGCCTGCACAGAGATCAGAAGAAACTTCAGAACATTAGGTGGTACTAGTATTCCCTAAAGAAACCTAGAGTCCTCTTGGAGGAATGAAGCTGAATCTTGTATTTCCAAGACTCACCTAAAATGCCTAGTGCCTGCTGCCATACTCTCATACTAGTATCATCATTGCACTCAGTGAAATTTCATTTAAAAAAGAAAATATTATTTGGCAAGCAGTTGAAGATACATTTCATTAATCTAGTGAAATATTTTGTGTAATATTAAAAATCCAAATATCTTTCTAAAATTTAGGCAGTCAGGGCCTCCTGGGTGGCACAGTGGTTGAGCGCTGGGCTGCGAAGCTGCCCGCAGCCTCTGCAGCGCCGGTTCAATCCCTGGCCACCGGTAAGGGTCCCACATGGTGTGCAGACCTCTCCTGCTGCGCCCGCTGCTCCCCTCAACAGCGTACTTCGTCAGTCTGCCTGTTCTGTTCCCCGCTCTGGCTCTGGTGAATTCTCTCACCCTCCCACTTCTGACTATACCCAGTGCTTGTATAAAAAAATAAAATCTTTAAAAAAAATAAAGTTTAGGCAGTCAAGAAACAAGTTCCCTAAATATTTAATTATAAGACAGAAAGTGGATTAGACATACATACAGCAATATAGATAGATCTTAAAATCACTGCCGAGGGCCTCCCCAGAGGCGCAGCGGTTGAGCGCTGGGTTGCGAAGCTGCCTGCAGCCTCTGCAGTGCTGGTTCTATTCCCGGCTGCTCCCCGGCCACCGGAGGAGGATCCAACATGGCGCACAGACCTCTCCTGCCACCTGCTGCTCCCCTCAGCAGTGTACTTCAGTCCTTCTGCCTGCTCTGCTCCCCGCTCTGGCTCTGGTGAATTCTCTCACCCTCCGGCGCTTCTGACTGTACCCAGTGCTTGTATAAATAAATAAATAAATCTTAAAAAAATATATAAGCTTAAAAAAATCACTGCTGAGTGAAATAATAAAATATGATACAGAAAAACGGATACATCATTTAAAACACATGCCTATCTTTGGGATAATTCAACTGGACCAAAGTAAACCATTTTCCCCTGCATCATTTTTAAAGAAGGCACATGTCTAATGTAAATGTGATCAGCAGTAGAAATGCTTAATTCATATAGGCTAGACAAAAAGTAATTTTCAAGCATCCTAACAGTAACCTATCATATTTTTTATTCAACTAATAAAGCATTTTATGACATGGTTTTTCTGTTTATATTTAGAGAAACAAGAAAAAAAAAACACATGCCTATCAACCTCTGTATGCACTTTATTAACACTCAAGCAAAAGAAAGGATATGACTAAAATTTATAAGAATGGCTGATTATGGGGAAAAATGGGATGGGATGGAGTTAGGGAGTGGAAATAGTAGTGAGTGAGTAGATTAATAACAGAGACTACTGAAAAATTACTCAAGGAATAAAATACGTTAACTCTCTACAGTTGACATTAAAACCCACCACCCTACCACCTCAAGAATGGTTTTGGTTATTGTCCCCCTAAAATCCCCATTCCCCCTTGTTTTGATCCTACTCCCTTCGGCTCCCCTGTAGTGTGTCTCTGGTTTATAGTTGCTTGTTGATTTTGATTTTTACTTTATTATAATTAGTCTTTTTCCTGATCCCTTATTTATGGGTTTTCTAAATCCCTGCTATGAGTGAGACCATCTGGTATTTTTCTTTTTCTTTCTGGCTTATTTCGCTGAGCATGATCCCTTCCAGCAACATCCATGTTGCTGAAAATGGCATGAGTTTATCTTTTTGATTGCTGAGTAATATTCCATTGTGCAATAACACAAAAATTTAATAAAAATTTCACTGAACACAAACACAAAAAAAGAGAGTACTTTTGGGAAGCAGTGTTTAATGGCTGGCACCATTCACAAATGCTGGAGTATGGAAGTAGTAACCAAAATAGCACTGATTGCTTGGTTTTACTTTTGTATAAAAATATCTCAAAAACAATGCTCCTCCTTATTGCCTACTCCTTCCCACTGCCCTACTACTCTGCCCCAATTTTCTTCGAATGTGATATTCTTGGGGACTATCAGGAGGATGTTTTCATCTTTATAAGGCCCTTAAGTTTCTTCCAGCATAAAGTGACATGTAACAAATGTCACTATGAGATGTGTGACCTGGTGGTGATTTTTCAGTCTGCCTTTCGGGGGTGTGACTTTATCATTCCATATACATCACATCTCAACCCATCTGGAGCCTCCCACAACCCATACACCTGTGAAAATTAAAAATCCTTTCCCTCCTGCCACAAGTGAGCAGGCCACCTCAAGTTTAAGGTGGAAAATCTGTCTTCAGTTCTCAGTTCTCACTCACTCCATCCTTGTGCCCAACCTCTGGCTAACTGTGACCCCACAAGCCTGTTGTCATGGCACCTCCCACTTTACAGGCCCCATGTCCCTCCCTTCACACACACTTGCTTCTTCCCTTCCTTCACCTCTTCCTCACCATCAGAAAACTCAGAGACACACAGCTCTTTTCCATCTTGTAGATTTTATTTCAACCCCACCAGCTGTGTACCCTAGAGATGCACCAATTCTCTGCAGGCTCCTCTGGAAAGGCAGGAGATAGTTGTAGGTCTCCAGGCCTCTCTGCACATGGTGCATTACTTATTCTGCTCTAGCTGATTCTTATTTTTAGTTGGGTTCCCTCTCTTTATCAGCTGGTGTTCTCCCTTGCGCTTTCCTGAATAGGTGATTGGTATCTCAGAGGATCTTTTGGTGGGACGTATTTTCAGGAACAGATTTACAAGCGTAGTTGTCTTATTCACCTGGAAGAGCAACAGGGTGAACACAGGGCATTAGTTTGGTGGGCATTGATAGAGACTGGATGGTGGAGTGGGGATTTCATAAGAAGGGGTGCTGGCTGAGGAAGGGGTTTGCACCAGGCAAGGACAGGGTAGGGATCTCAGGTGGGGGATCAATGAGGGAGGTACATGGGTAGGGCCATCTAACCTGGGCATTTTGCCTGCACTTGCAGTGAAAGGGGATCATCCAGTCCCTCCTTTCTCGAGCACTTGTAAATAGCTGTTTTCCACGTGTGGCCACCTGTTCGGTGCTTGTGCATGGTTGTTCCCAACTCGTAGATGGTTGTTCCCAACTCGTAGATGGTTGTTCCCAACTCGTAGATGGTTGTTCCCAACTTATGGGTAGTTGTTCTCCACTTATTTTTGGTTCTTCTGTGCTTGTACTTGGTTGCATCCCACTTGTAGATGGCTGTTCCTCGGTTGTGGTACATTGTTCTCTACTTGTGGCCAGTTGTTCTTCACTTGTAGACAGCTGTTCCTTACTAGGGGATTGTTGTTCCCCACTTGACATTGATTGATCCTCACTCATAGTTGGTTGTTCCATGCTAGCGTTGGTTATTCTACCTTTGTAGTCAGATGGTCTATATCTGTGCTAAACTGTGGTTCACCTGTAATTTCAGCTTTGCTGAAGCCTCCCAATGGTCTGCCCCAGAGCGCATGGCTTCCCTATATATACCCACCTGGGCGGGTAATGAGGAGTCACACCCTTGCCTTTGTTTGCTCAGCAAGGCAGTGCTTGAGTCAGCGGTAGTCAAGGGAAACTGAGACATCACAAAGCACTACTCCTGACATCTCCATGGTGCTGAGGAAGGGCAGTCTTCAGATGGAGGGGGAGGCCAGCTGATTTCTTCAGATAAAGGCAGTGTTTCTTTCACACCCCTCAAAGATGCAGTAATTTTCATTGACACTCCTTAGAGACCTCATCTTATGTTCCCTGGTTTAATTCCAGTGGCCCACATGACAGGAGAGGCTGTTTCTTTCATATCTTTCCCCTTGGTTACCTCCATGCAGTGGTTTATTTTCTCTCTCACTAACTTTACTTGGTATTCAGGATGCCTCACTGAAAATTCCTCTAAGGTAAAGTGGTCATATAAAAGTCTCCCTGGAAATGTGAATCATCCCACCTACCTTCTATAAATACCTCTTATTTACCATGACGGCGACTTACTTCCTGGCTACTGCTGGGAAATGTTCTATCCTGTCTCCTTTCCCAATGTCCACATGACTTTCTTCAGTTTTCTGTTTCCAAATTGAAATCACTGTCTTTGGGATATCGTTTTCACTAAATAAATATGTTCCCCTGGTTATCCTCACCATGTTTCCAATCTAAGGGACTGAGTTCATTTCAACAGATTTTACAACACACCTGAATTTTAAAACAATAGGGAGAGGAGGGGCAAAATGTACATGCTAGAAGTTGTGCTGGATTTATTTATTTGTTTGTTTATTTATTTATTAAATAATGTGGTACATTAAAAAAAAATCTTTAAAAGACTTATTTATTTATACATACAAAAACTGGGGTATAGCCAGAGGTGTGGGGGGTGAGAGGATTCACCAGAGACAGAGTGGGGAACATAACAGATGGGTATGGGTAGACTCAAATTCACTGCTGAGAGGAGCAGCAGGTGAGACAGGAGAGGTCTGCTGTGCCACGTGGTTAACTCCCTGGTAGGAGATCAAACTCATGCTCTAGTGGCTGCGGATAACTTCATAGGTTGCATATTAACCCCTTGAGCCACCAGGGAGGCGCTGTGCTGGACATATTTATACAGGAAACTATGGTATTTAAGATTTAGAGGAATACCCAGGGAGTACCTTGGCTTAACCTCAGATGTGTGTGCCTTTGGTGAAGGGCAATTCTCTATATTTGACCTCAGCCATCAGAAACTTTTCTGACTTTAGTTGGCTACTGGTGCTGTTAGTATCCTATTCCCTACCCCCTTCCTTTTCTTGTAGCTTCCTGGATAAATGAAGTTTATTTCATTTTCTATGAAGAGGAATACTAGGGTAATTAATATTTGTGAAAAGCTACAGAAAGAGTTTCCAGCTTCTTGGAAGAGATTATTTGCAAATAAGCCATGTACTGCCCATTAAACTCACTCGATAAGGTCTTTCATTCAGGATTTCAGCCTTAGAAGAAATAGGTGGTGTGATTAGCTACAGGTTATATGTTCCTAATTCTAATAGAAAGTCCAGCTGTCTTGTGACCTTCACCTGACCACATGTCCTTTTGCCTCAGGGTCTTTCCTGAGTTTCCTATGAATAATCACATCCTGGAAGTTACTGGCTGCTTACTCACCCAGGATACGAGACAGAGAGAGACAGAGAGAGACAGAGACACAGAGACAGACAGAGGTACATAAATATAGATACGTAGATATATTATGCCACTTAGAATGTAATATATTGTAAAGGGTGTAACAAAACATCCATAAACTCAAACTCAGAAAAAACTCACAAACTTGGAAAAATAATTGCAACATATATTACCAATAAAGGGCAAATATCAGTAATATGTAAAAACTTTAAGATGGCAATGCAAAAGACCCCAAATCTGATAGAAAAATGTGAAAAATGCAAACAGCAATTACAAGAACAATTTAGAACTGACCCTTATTCATCTGAAATGATGTTTAACCTCACTAAGATAAATATATTCAAATTACAACAACCACGAGATAGGGAGACCAATTCAGAACTGACACAAATTCTTCAGTTTAAATGCCAAGGACATTTGAACAGTTGCCATAATTCTACCCTGCATGTTTAATGTTAAGTACAAACATGGAAGAGATGAAAGGGTGATGGAGAACTCTGAGTGAAGAAATCTACAGTATCTGACATGGCAATACTCTGGATGGAATTAATCACAGAATAGAACTGACAAGAAGAAAGGTTTATGTGTTTGAAGTCATAAAAAGTGAAGCCATACAGTGTAAGAAAAAAGAGAGTGAATCAATACATAAATGGTACTATACCATGAACAATTAGGGGTTGCCCAAGGAATGCAAGATTGGCTAAATATTCAAGTAGCATAATTACATCATATTAAAAAAATAAAAACAAAAAATTATACTGTCAGTCACTCATTTAGTCAATAATTGCAGAAACAACACTCTTTCATGATAAAATATTCAGCAAACCAAGAATACATGGGAGCTTTTTCAACCTGATAAATGGTACCTATGAAAATCCTGTAGCTAACATTATATTTTAAAGTAAAAGACTTAATTCTGTCCCTCTAACAGTAGTAAGAAGTCAAGGATTTTCACTTTCTCTACTTCTATTGAGTATTGTAGTGACAAACCTACTTGATGTAAAGAGGCAAGAAAAATAAGTGCCATTCATTTTGGAAAAGAAATATGGCTTTTTTTATTCACAGGAGACATGGTCATCTGTGTTGAAAATCTAATGGAAAAATCAAAAAGCTACTAGAACTAATAACTGAGTTTATAAGATCATAGAATAAAATGAGAAGATGCAAAATAAATCAATTCTATTTCTATATAACGATAAAACATAATTGGGGCTGAATTTTAAAATATAGCACCACTTACCATAGCATCAAAATAATGAAAAGATCTAATAAGTCTGACAAAGATGTTAAATACTGTATATTGAACTGCATTGTTGGGATTTATTAAGGTCGACTTAAAGAAAAAAAAGAGATACGGCATATGCATAAATGGGGTGATTTGATGTGGTTAACATATCTGTTCTCCCAAATGGATCAGATTTAATGCAGTCACATTCCAAATCCCAGGAAGCTTTATTATCAAAATAAATAAGACATAATTAGTTGAATCTATAATTCATATGGAAATGTAAAGGACCAAAGGTATAGTATTCAAGACAGTGTGGTACTGGTGTGAATACAGAAAAATAGACCAATGGAACAGAATGTAGATTCCAGAAACAGACTCACACCTATATGACCACACTGATTTTGACAGAGACAAAAGAAATTCAGCAGATATGAGAGAATGAGTGGGAATAAGGGAGCATAGAAGGACACAAGGAAAGGCTTGTTGCTGATGGGTACATGTATTTTCTTGATTGTGGTAATGGTTTTATATGCTTATTCATACAACTTACAAAATTATATAATCATAAGTCATGTGATTTATTGTATGCCAATTATACCTTGATGAAGGTTTTGTTTTATTCTAAGTATATAGTATTTAAAATAGACATTTCTCTACTCAACTATTGTTTTTGCTACTTAAGTATCTGACTCTGCGCCAGTGAATCTCCATAATCCTCTGTATCCTCATTTATAAAATGGGAGTGATAATATTACCTACTCACAAAGCTCATTAATTAACTGAAGTTATATATATATATATATATATATATCACAAAGCAAATATTCAAATGACAGCTAATTTTAGCATCTTCATCATCTTGTTAATGTTACATAAAATAACATTGAAGATGTGTATCAAAATGTCTTTTAATCTACCCAAATAATTACCTTCAAATTCTTCAGTATTAAACAGAATACTACAATGTCCACACTTGCATACTGTTTTTGCACACATGCTCAATTTCCTCTACAGAAAAATATCTGCAAGGGAAATGCTTAACCTAAAGTACATGCACATTTTTTAGTTTTTTGATACATGTTGCCAAGTTTACCTCTAGAAAGTTATGTATTAATTTACATTCCTAGCAGCTCTGCTGGAGACTGCTGCCTGTTTTGTTTTTCATATCCTAGCTGGCACTGTATATTCCTTTTATTTTTGCTTTAATCTTTCTTGTCTGATAGGTGAAAAATGTATCTTTTTAAATCATTTACAAAATCCTTTACATTTCTAAGGGACGTAAAGATATGGTTATAAAAATAAAGCTGCTATTGGGTAGCTATGGAGATCACTTTAGAAAAAGATAGGAAACTGTCAGTTTTAGATCTTGATAGCATTGATCTTCATCTTCTCCAAATCTGTTCACCATCTCTTCTTCCTCACTGGTAGAAACTTACTTAGTTCAGTTAGACCCATCCTCTACTGTGTGGTCTTATACTATAAGGAATAACCAAATGAAGTCAAGAGAAAATACTAAAGTTTTTAAGACTCAACTGTACTCAGTTAAGTGAAGATGAACACAGCTCAACTTTATCTTCTTGCAAAAATGAGGGAGGGTTATAGTATGTGTGGGGGGAAGAGAGAGAGAAAAAGAGAGAGAGAATGAATAATCCCGAGATAGAATCCTGAGAAATATTTCCACCACAACTTACCCCTATTCACAGTGTATCTGGAGAGGAGAGATCAGAGAGTCAGAAACAACCTGGTCAAAAATGGAGATAATTCCATCACTTAAAATTCCAACCCTAAACCCTCCTTCTCTAACCATAGTCTGGAAAGCATTTCCTATGATTCTCAATTTTCTGCTGCAAGGAAAGTTGAAGTGGAAAAGAAGAATCATAAAAGTCAAAACTAATAATCACCAGCAATTTTTCAAACAGAGTACAAAGAAAATAAAGAAGACATGAGGCATTGAGAAATGACATTGGAAAACATTTAATATCTCTGTCCACTGCAAAGAGTCCTTAACCCAAGCTCACCTCCTTTTTTTTTAAGATTTATTTATTTATGCATGCAAGAGCTGGGGTACAGGCCAGAGATGCGAGATGCGAGGGGTGAGCGGATTCACCAGAGAGAGTGGGGAATAGAACAGGCAGACTGACTGAAATACACTGCTGAAG